CAACTTTACATATTTAACTTCATATATTTAACTTTACATATTTAACTTTACATATTTAACTTTATATATTTAATCTAAAAAAGTTAAATCTGGTCCTCTGGACATTCAAAAAAACAAAACAAAGCAAAACAAAAAAATATAGAAACGTTTCGTCTCTCATCCGAGAGACTTCCTCAGTCTGAGGTGCTGTATTCAGCTCAGTCTCTTAAATAGCACCTTCTCAGAGTGGATCAACTAGTTTGCTGCTGACAACCAAAACCAGCTGCTCACATGCTCAAGAAGGACCATCAGCCTAACAATGGATCATTAGCACCTGATGGCTGTTTACTATTCACAGGGGGTTGAGTGATAGTAGCAATAACAGCAGTGTAACAATTGTCCCCCCTTACAATGATGTTATTGCTAGTATCACTCAACCCCTTAACCACTCAACTGGATCTTTGGGATGAACTCATCCCAAAGATCCAGTCCCCCGGCACAAACAGAATAATGTTGTGTATGTTGTTCAGTGTCAGGAGGGTGATCAGTCTTACATCGGGAAAACTAAACAGCCACTGGCCAAAAGGATGGACCAGCACAGAAGATCAACATCATCAGGCCAGGACTCTGCGGTCTACACTCATCTCCAGGCCAGCGGTCACTCTTTCAGGGATGAAGATGTTCACATCCTGGACAGAGAGGAACGATGGTTTGAGAGAGGAGTAAAGGAGGCCATCTTTGTGAAAAGAAATCGTCCATCATTAAACAGGGGTGGAGCCTCCAGGTTCAACTGTCCCCCTCTTACAATGCTGTGATTGCTAGTATCACTCAGCCCTCTGTGAACAGTAAACAGCCATCAGGTGCTAATGATCCATTGTTAGGCTGATGGTCCTTCTTGAGCATGTGATCAGCTGGTTTTGGTTGTCAGCAGCAAAACTGGTTGATCCACTCTGAGAAGGTGCTATTTAAGAGACTGAGCTGAATACAGCACCTCAGACTGAGGAAGTCTTTCGGATGAGAGACGAAACGTTTCTATATTTTTTTGTTTTGCTTTGTTTTGTTTTTTTGAATGTCCAGAGGACCAGATTTAACTTTTTTAGATTAAATATATAAAGTTAAATATGTAAAGTTAAATATGTAAAGTTAAATATATGAAGTTAAATATGTAAAGTTG